AAGAAAATACTTGAAGGTTGTAAAACTTATGCACTCTTAACATGATGAAGGGCATTTTTTCCCTCCACTGAGCTTCAAACTTCGTTTATTTTGTTATGAACGTCAATTTGCTCTGAGATACCATACAACATGAACTACGTTTTTTTCAAATAGGCAGATCAGTTCAGAAGGAATAACGGAATATGAAAATTAATGAATTAATAAAGATATTTGCTTGTTTAATATAGAATGATGTAATGCGATGATTTCAAATGGCCTACTATGGGTACAATCAGGAATGGAAGCGTAGTGGTTTAAATTCTACGCTTCATTCAATCTGTCATGGGCAGCCGTTGTAGGAGCCATTTCCAGCGTTCACTCCAGAATGCTTTTAGAGGCATCGATGTACCAATGTAATCTGATCCTCTGAAAGTGGTATTCCAAATATGTTTGTTTGAATATTTTGAAAATGTTCTCTCCACCTCTTCTGAATTACAGCGACAGATTTCACATAAAAATTTTCATAACATTTTTTAGTTTCTATTAAAAGGCTGTCGATAATTACTAAGTTTTACACCTGGAATTTCTTGCCGCGTGCTTCGCACAGAAACAACTTGTCTTGGCAAGGTATATGACAATCAGATGATAGATCTGTTTCTATGCCTACAATATCGACATCCACTTGCCCAAGACCCCGAGCGGCATTGGCATATCGCTGAGGCACCATTTTGGACTCACTGCTCACTCTTCTCAGAGACCTCAGAAATAATCACTCATTTACCTCGTTGTGATGGTGCGGCTATACAATTCAGATGTAAGTTGGCGTTGAATGGTTTTCAATAGGGTCATGACACTTCCAAACCCAGACCAAAAGATACCTTGGCCTAGGTTCCGACCTCAGGCCATATGGCTCTTTTACGTATAAGTCCTGGCGTTGTGATGCCTTCCAGTATAGTTCACGGACTTCTTTTTTTGGGCTGAGGACAGGCACCATTCGAAAGGTGTTCAGAGCAGCTGCCCCTGTAACCCGATGGGAATAATGAACTTGGAAAAAATTTTTAAAAAACCGCCTAACATTGCTACAATACTGACCAGCCACATTTACATCACTGTAATCACCTACTTCGTCACACGGCAGTATGGGCATCACTTAATTATTCGCTTCTGTTTGATTTATTTAGGCAGCAAAGCAGGTGCTATGAAAGTTAATGATGATTTGCTTCCACTGACTCATTTGTATATTTGAATAGGGTAATCGAATACGTGTTTAGGAGAGCAAGTGTCTCTTCGTCGTGCTGTTGATGGCCATATACTGGTTGTTTGAAGTTTTACCTCTGGCCGTTACCGCGCTGATGCCCATAGCGCTGTACCCGATGCTTGGTGTTCTGCCAGCTGATCAAACGTGCAAAAGTTACATGCCGGTGAGGCAAAGCGGCTCGACAGGGCAGTGTTTCGGCCAAAGAATGACCACTGAAATTTCAGGATGTGAATTTTTTGTCCTTCGGCGGTCTCGTCGTAGCTCTTGCTATTGAGAAGTGCAACTTACACCAAAGAATCGCACTGCGGGTTCTCACCTGGGTTGGAGCGAAGGAGAATTCGTGAGTATTATTTTTCTACTTTGACATGTATTTAAATGAGTCTCGGTACGGTCCGTTTTCGAATAAGGGAACAATTCCCGGTATATAGGTTATTGTGACGAATAAGCATCGGGGGATATTATTAAGAAGTGCTGAGGACAGACCAACAAAGCCGTCATTTATGAAAAAACTACGTATTACCGTATGACGGTTATGCGATGAGGCAAGAATGACTCGTCGATGATCAGGTCACGAATGCACCGCTGCCTTGTGGCAACGGCTAAAACATACAACTTCATGATGCAACCAAAAAACAAGGTCTCAGTTGGGCACCTATTTGCATCAACCAACTCTGGAAAGTTCTAAAAGTTTGTGCTGACGCTCTTCTTTCTTCTGAGACATTACTTACTTGTCCCTCGGAAGTTCGCATCCCTCACATTCGATCAAGGTTGGTGCAAGTACCTCTCTTTAAACAACAGTACTTGGAAAGACTTGGTACGGCCATAGCAGTGCCTGAAGAAGCATTTGCTGTTTTTTCGTTGCTGCCAGTCAACTCGCCTCTTAGGAGCTAGTATTTTTTTTTGACATAGTCATCATTACGGTCCGTATGCCTACCTCAGGTACATACGAT